TTTCACATGAGCGACGGGGCGGATACATATGTAAGTCTCACTATCCCAGTGTGTACGAATAGTTGCTGGTGTGGGTGGCCGACGCGGGCGCCGTGGCGCTGATTGCTGGGGGCTTCAGCGCGTTTCGCAGGCCGCGCTGACGCGTGGGGATGGCGACGTCGACGACGGTTGACACGATGATGATAGGAACGATGCCGGTGACGATGGTGACGAGGACGATGGCAATGCCAATGACGACGCCGATGTTGTTAACGCCGATGACGATGATGGTGTCCACGTTTCCGTGATGGAGGTTTTGGGAGATATCGACATGCGGGCGCGGTCGACGCGGGCGAATGGCCCGCATGGTATTATTTGAGTGGGATCGCGCCCGCCCCCCAGCACGCGCGCAAGGGCTTTCGAATGATTTCAAAATGCGCGCGCGACAGGTCTGTTTTGGTCGCATGTGATGTTGAATAACACATGGTTGTCGGAAAAATTCGCACGAATACGAGCAGGTTTTGTTTGTATCAAAACCACGTAGCACACATACAGTTTCACAGTGAATGTTTCCGAAGAAATCTGGCATGCGCGCGCGCGATGGTCGTGTGTGGGCTTGTTCCTGTTTTCAGTTACCGGTTTTTGCACATGGATAATTGTTGATAAACGAGCGTGTGCGTATAGTTAATCCGTAAGGGCTTCGCCCCCTGCCGCCGGCCCCCTCTCTCGGAGAATGGGCCATGGAAGAGCTAAGTCATGAGGCTTTGGCGCTGTCGTGCAGCAGTATCGGAACTTCATGCGAGGCCGATTCGCAATCGGCAAAACCAACTGATCACAAGAGGGGTTACCACACAGGGCGATTGGTAAGACGTGTATGGTTTACGAGCTTGGTTACCACACCTTGGGATTAAAGGGCCGAGGGAGTACTCGCAGTTTGGGTTACCACGCCTTGCGATGGATGTGCGTGAGGGGTGGCACCGAATTTCAGAAATGTGGCAAATCCCCTGTGTTTTTGGACCCTGACCCCGCGGATCTGCGTGAGGGGTGGCACCGAATTTCAGAAATGTGGCAAATCCCCTGTGTTTTTGGACCCTGACCCCGCGGATCTGCGTGAGGGGTGGCACCGAATTTCAGAAATGTGGCAAATCCCTGTGTTTTTGGACCCTGACCCCGCGGATCTGCGTGAGGGGTGGCACCGAATTTCAGAAATGTGGCAAATCCCATGTGTTTTTGGACCCTGACCCCGCGGATCTGCGTGAGGGGTGGCACCGAATTTCAGAAATGTGGCAAATCCCTTGTGTTTTTGGACCCTGACCCCGCGGATCTGCGTGAGGGGTGGCACCGAATTTCAGAAATGTGGCAAATCCCTGTGTTTTTGGACCCTGACCCCGCGGATCTGCGTGAGGGGTGGCACCGAATTTCAGAAATGTGGCAAATCCCCTGTGTTTTTGGACCCTGACCCCGCGGATCTGCGTGAGGGGTGGCACCGAATTTCAGAAATGTGGCAAATCCCGTGTGTTTTTGGACCCTGACCCCGCGGATCTGCGTGAGGGGTGGCACCGAATTTCAGAAATGTGGCAAATCCCGTGTGTTTTTGGACCCTGACCCCGCGGATCTGCGTGAGGGGTGTCGATTTCGAGCCCCCCCAGCAATTCAGACAACGCGCCCAGGGGGTGCTAAAAAGTTCCGTTTGGGCCTCCCCCCCCTTCGCGCGGTCAATCAACTAGTTACAGTAACCAGCAAAAAGCAGAACTGTAACACTGGAAACTACAGCCTACGACTGGTACAGGAAACTGCGAACCTCGCGCCTACAGCCTGGTGGCCTCACAAGGGGGCCGGCGGATTTTGCAAAAAAGCGAGGGGGATCCCCGGCGTAGGTGGGATGGGCAAGATCGTATGTACATTGCACGTGCCCAGGAGGGGCGGGAGGGTAAGACCAGGGGGATGGGTGTGAACATGTTTTTTTGTAGCGCAATCTATCTCGGGCGGCGGCGCGGCGGCGACGGGGCTGCGCCGGCGACGACGCCTCGGTGGTATGGCAATGGAGACCAAACGAAACGACGGGCCGCGGCGAGGCGGCGACGGGGCGGGCGACGGGGCGGCGACGGCGGCAACAAGGCGGCGGACCCAGCAATGGAGCCCAGACGACGGGCGATGGCGAGGTGGCCACGGGGCGGCGACGGGGCGGCGACGGCGACAGCAAGGCTGCGGACCTGGCAATGGAACCCAGTTCCTTAGAACATGAAAAGACCCCCAAGTGCAAACATGTTTGGGAAATCGTAGATTTTGCCTCTTGGAGCCCTGCTGGGCTCCTTTATGGGTCCTCTATGGGCCGTCTTGGAGCGCTCTTTGCCTGAGGCCGTGGGGCCTGCCACCTGTTTCGCGCCTCCTTTGGGTTCTCCCATGGGTCTGAGGGCCTCCAGGGCCGCGCCCCGAAGTCCTGGCATCCGTGACCTTGAGTCAACCCGGGTACTCTTCGTCCAGGGAGCCCTAGGGGGCGCGACGCGCGCGCGAAGTACAACCACTACTGTTACCGAAGATTTAGCACGCCTCTGGCCCGTTGGCCGGGCGAATTTCCATCATGAGGAAGCCGTATTCCATTTTTATTCTGGGGCAGTCTTCCTGGGCAAGGGAGGCCATGTCGAGGCTTGCAAGTCCAGCATGACATTTTAAATATTTTTCTAAGGGTTCGGGGAGCGATAAGAACCGATTGTGGATCCGGAAGCCATCACGACGCGTTCAAGAGATCCGTTTTCCCCATGCACAGATAGAGGGGACGATGCATTGCCGTCGCCACCTTCATTCTTTTTGCCTGCCCACCTCGTGGCCTTTCCGCCGCTCTCCCGCGTGGTCGCGAGAGGGCCAGATCATTTCGGCAATGTCTGGTCTTGGCGGGGCTACTGGCGTCCGCGTGTAGGCGCGAAGTTGGCGGGCGCTCAGGGTGCACGCCCGAAGGGCGCACAATCGAGCGAGGCGGCGCGTTGACGTGCCATTTGCTCTCAGGTGCTGGTGGGGACTGTCGCCTTCCCCCCCCCGGCTCCGCCAAGCAGCTTGCCTGTACATGTTGTGCATGCGCGCCCAGCTGGACGCGAGTCGCTGCTGCCGAGGCGCGCCTGCCGCTTTGACGGACCGACCCCTTCCTTGTGCTGCTGCTGATCCACCCTGCACCTGTCTTTGCTGAGGCCGTGGCTCTCTCCACGGCCACCTGTCATTGCAGCTGGAGCCTAGCGAGCAAAAAATGGCCCCTCCAGCCGTCGATTACTCCTCTCCTTCCCCCTTCCTGCGATTGACCGGTTCTCTTCGTGCGACGTGGACCGGTTCTTTTTGTGCGACGTGCTGTTTGTCTGGTCCACGCACTTTGGATGCGCTTCGATTTTGGTTCATGTCTCCAGCTGTGGGCGTCCCCCAGACAATGTGATGACGAGGACAAAGAGGATGATCAGCATAACGCTCGATGGCCCTGTTCTGCGAAGTCTCCTTGCGCCTGCTGCGCAGCGGCCCTCGGCAGGCGCAGTTGAGCGTGACGTGATCCGCCCTGCTCGGCGCCGTGGCGCGCGCCCCCCCCCGAGCCGTCGCCTCCGCGGCCGCCTGCGGCGACCGCCGCTGGCCACTCCCGCAGCCCGTCCACGGTCGGAGCGCGAGCACCTGCCGCGATGCGTCTGGCGGGAGGGTCACTGGGTTCAGATCGCCTGATTGTCCTCCTCCGTCTCCTCCTCCTCCTCCTCCTCCTCCTCCTCCTCCTCCTCCTCCTCCTCCTCCTCCTCCTCCTCCTCCTCCTCTCCTCCTCCTCCTCCCCCTCCTCCTCCTCTCCTCCTCCTCCTCTTCCTCCTCCTCCTCCTCCTCCTCCCCCTCCTCCCCCTCCTCCCCCCTCCTCCCCTCCTCCTCCCCTCCTCCTCCTCCTCCTCCTCCTCCTCCTCCTCCTCCTCCTCCCCCTCCTCCCCATGTTGGGGCCGTCAGTGCTGCTGTGCGCCGCCTTACTTTTTGCTCTTTCTTTATTCGGTCGTCCTGGGGCGCCTCGGGCCCATCCCGTGCCGAGCGCAAAACTCTCTCTCTCTCTCTCCCTCTCTCTCTCTCTCCCCCCTCTCTCTCTCTCTCTCCCCCCCACCTGCCAGCCTCCTTTCCTTGTGCGCGTCCACGTTGCCCCAGCTTGTCGCTTCTTTTCCAGTTTGCCCATTTCTAGAGTTGTGTCGTCTTCGCCCTCATAGCTCAGTCTTGCACTCTGCTGCGTTGTCCTTGCAGTCAGCTGTCCCTGGTCATGTTGACCCCGCCGCCATTTGGATTCCAGGCTACTTCGTTTCACGTCGGTGTCACATGAGGTTATTTTTGGTTTGAAAACTAGTGGGCTGGCGCCAGGGGTGGGGACGGAGGAGGGTAATATCGGATAGGGACAGTAGTGGGAGGGGTAGGGGTAGGATGCGGAGGCATAGGCGGGGGAGGTGACGGGAGTGAGGAGGAAAATATGAGGAGGAGGAGGAAAAACAGCATGAGGAGGAGGAGGAGGAGGAGGAGGAGGAGGAGGAGGAGGAGGAGGAGGAGGAGGAGGAGGAGGACGACGAGGAAGAGAAGGAAGAGTTTTGCTGGTAATCGTAGTAGTAGTGCGGGGCAGTTTTTTTGCCGCCTTGCTGACTGTTGCTGCTGCAGATTTGGGCTTCGCTTGCCCTTGCCTCATCATGCGACGGGTCGACCGCGCGGACGAGCGGACCAGAGTGGAGCAGGCGGAGGGCCGGAGGGGGGAAGGAGGGGGGACAGGCAGACCATCGGACAGACGATCACAAACATGGATTAAGGGGGCCTGGATTAGCGACGGGTCCTGTTTCCATGGGGAACCGCGGATTTCCCCCGCCGAGCGACGCGGCGCCGGCCGCATTTTGGGGAGGGCACGTCCCCCGATCCATGGACTTGGCGACGGCGCGCCAGATCCAAGGGTCGCTCAGCCATGTTTGCGCGCCCCCGACAGACGGGCAAGGATCGTGCCCGATTCAGGCGTGGTCGGGCCAGGCTCATGCGCGAGGGCTCGCGGCAGCCGAGGCGGGCTCGAGCGCGCTGCTTGCCCGCCCCGTGCGCGGCCGGGTGTCCGCAGAGGAGGCGCCGCCCGCTGGACGCCTCTCTCCTCCCCCTCCCCCTCCCTCCCCTCCCCCTCCCCTCTCCTCCCCTCTCCTCCCCCCCTTCCCCTCACCTCCCCCTCCCCTCCCCCTCCCCTCCCCTCCACCTCCCCTTCCCTTCCCCTCCCCCCACCCTCCCCTCCCCCTCCTTCTCACTGTCCCACTTCCCGCCCTCCCCTCTCCCTCCTCCTTCTCCCTTCCTCCTCTCCCTCCCGCTCCCCTCTCTAGAATTTCACAATCTGAGCACCACTCTCCTCTCTCCCCTGGTGGCCTCCAGAAAATGGCCAGCCCCCCTTCGTGGCCGTTTTTTTGAACACATGATTCTTATCATATTTTCATCATTGTGAAACTTATCATTATTATTAGTATTGTTGTTGTTAGTCGTATTATTATTACTATTCTTATTCTTGTTTTTAGTATTCGCATTATTGTTATCATTACTATTATTATTATCATCATTATTATTATCACTTTTGATATTATTATTATTCTTATTTTTATCGTTATTATCATTATTTATTCACTTGCTTGTTGCTATTATCATTATCGTTATTGTTGTTGGTGTTGTTGTTGTGGTTGTTGTTGTTGTTGTTGTTGTTATTATTATTATTTTTAGTATTATTCTTATTATTATTACATTAGTATTCTTCTGTTTTTTTTAGCAGTGTGTTTTTTTACCATGTGACATTCTTATTCATACGAATAATGATACATATTCATAGTATTAATACTAGTAATAATACTAATGCTAATCATGTTTATAGTTAACATTATTATTGTTTTAGTTTTCACATTATTTTGAAGTAAATGCTGCTGTCGCTGAAGCGCTTGCCTCATTTCCGCGCTTCCGCTCGTTCCGAAGAATCGTGCTCCCGCTGTAGCGCTGGCGTCATCATTTCCAGTGCCATGCCACGGCATGGTTTTCGGTCCTTCCAAATAGGCCGCGGAATCTAAAAAATGGCCTCCCGAAGAAACCATCGCAAGTGATTCACATTCGGCGTCGATTCTTACTTTTTTGGGCCGCACCCCCCCCACTTTGGGGCGTCGCCACGCCATGCTATGTCATGCTACGCGCTGATCTTCAACACCAGTCTATGCCATGTAATGCTATGCCATGCTGTGCCATCCGACTGTGCGAATAGAGAGGAGATCTACGCCATGGTAAGGAATGGGAGGGATAGGACGTCAGATATGACGCGAGCGCACCTAGCTTGTCCTCCCCGTTCCCCCTCTCCCTCCCCCTCCTCCCACTCCCTCTCCCTCCCCCTCTTCCCCCCCCCTCCCTCCCCCTCCTCCTGCTCCTCTCTCTCTCCTGCCTGCCCGCCCGGCGCGACTCTCCACGGTATTGCGAAGGCCTTACGGCCGTTGCCGCCGACCCTGAAGATGACGAAAGACAACACGAGGGGGGGGGCAGGAGGAGGAGGAGGAGGCGGAAGGGAGTAGGAGGAGGAAGGGTGAAGGGGGAGGAGGAGGAGGCCTTATGGATGTTGGTTGGGATCTCGTGGTTGACCTCTCGGGGGCGTCTGGAAGGCAACTTGAAGCCTCTTGGGGGCCGTTGTGGGGCCTCTTGGGGCCTCTTTTGGGCCTCTTGGGGCTTCCGGAGGCCGTCTTCGGCGCATCTTGGGGGCGTCTTGGCGCCGCTCGGGGGCCTCTTGGGGCCTTTTGGGGGCCTCTTGGGGCTTCCCGGGGGCCTCTTAGGGCGGAAGTCTCGAATTCTCGGTTCCTCGTCCGCCTCTTGGCCGTTTCTTGGGCCCGTCTTGGGGCCCTATTGGGCCGTCTTGGGCGCCTCTTAGGCTGTCCTGGGGCCTTCTTGGGCCGTCTTGGGGCCCTCTTGTAGGCCTCTTGGGGGCCTCTTGGGGGCCTCTTGGGCCGTCTTGGAGTGTCGGAAAGTCGAAAAGGCGAGAAGGCCAAAATCATTCAAAAACCGACGTAAAATTGACGATTTTGGCGCCTGGGGCCCTCTTGGGTGTGCTCTTGGGGCTCTCTTTGAGCGTCTTGAGGGCCTCTTGGGCCGTCTTCGGGCCGTCTTGGGCGTCTTGGGGCCATCGTTAGTCGAGTCGAGGCCGTCTTGTACCCTTTTGGGGGTGTCTTCTGTCGCTCTTGGCTCGTCTTGAAGCTTTTCTGAGCTCCAGGATTCCCCGGGGAGGATGCGTATCTGGGTGGCGACCCCCCCCCCGCCCCCAGCCCCCCCCCGGCGGGGAGGGTAGGGAGGGGCTTCGCCACGACTCAACTACGACGTTGCTCAATGTCGCTTTTGCTCGCGCGCTCAAGGAGACGGGGAACGACGAAGACGACGAGGGACAACGGAGACGGAGACGACGAGGACACGACGGAGACGACGACGACGATGACGACGACGGTGATCCACGCAAGACGACGACACCGGGATGCGTCTTCCACACGCCGACAGGGTCGGCGGATTTCTCGCGCGGTGCGCCCAGCAGCCAGCGGGATCCTTTCGCCGCCGACGCAGCGTTTGTTTGGAATGTCTCGCTGGAGCTCTGGAAGGGGTGGTTTGGTTGGGGAGGTCCTCGCGTCGAGGGGAGGAGGGGGGGGAGAAGGAGGAGGGGTTCTCGTTTCGAGGAGGAGGCTGTCATGGCGGGCCCTGGAAGGGGTGGAACTGGTAGATTTACCTCCCGATTCGGCTCCATGACCTCGGGGTTCCCTGGGGGTTCTCCTGGGGGCCTCTCTGGGCTTGACGCCCTTGCAACCGTGCGCTCTTTGAGAGCTGCGACGCCTCCTGGAGGCCTACCTGGGGTCAATTTTGGTTTCCCAGACTCCCTCTCAAGGCCTTGCCGGGACATTTCGTTGTCAACAATTTGAATTTCATTCGTCCTATACGTGTGTATTGGATATGTGTTGAGTATTCCCCAAGCAATGCTTGCACGTCTAGGTTCTAACTTGTTTTGCTATAGGATTGGACGGGTAACCCCAGCCGCCTGTGGCCGCCCATCGTAGCTTGCATCACACATCTCGCACCACAGCGTGCCACGCACAGCGTGCGCCACGTAGATTGCACCACAGAACCGGCACCAGTTCGCTTGTACCATGCCCCTTACATCACGCAGCTTGCACCAGCAGCTTGCACCACATAGCTTGCACACTCACGGTGCATTGACCTACTGTTTGGGGTCCACGCTGGTAAACAATCGTTCCGTTCGTATTCTTCGAACTGTGCTGGCACTTAGGGGTTCTTACTCATGTTGCTACAGTCGGGGCCCCGAAGAAGGAACCCTTTTTGTTGGGGAGGGGCTCCGCGTTCCTGAAGTGTTCCACAGCTTGCCTCAGGTTTTCCTTTTGTTTTCGATCGGAAATCGAAGTTTAACTTATGGAGAAAAGGGGCCTCGTTCCTCATTTAGGGTTCCTTAGGTCAACGCCCCGACTGCAGGGAATTGGATGGATCCGGCGAGGATTTCCCACAGTGCCGCCCGTGGCCACGACTCGTTGCCGCCTCGTGCGCTGGCTGGGCCTGGCGAGATGTTTCGCCACGTCGCCTCGTGCGCCGGGCGTGTCGGCGAGGTTTCGCCACGCTGCCGCCTCGTGGCCGCCGCGTGGTCACCTCGTGCTCTGGGCGGGCCCAGCGAGGCTTTTGCCACGTTGCTGCCACGTTGCCGCCTCGTGGCCGCCTCGTGGCCGCCTCGTGGCCGCCTCGTTGCCGTTGCCGCCTCGTTGCGCCACCTAGCTTGCACCACAAGTCTTGCACCACAGAGCTCCGGCACATCCGCGGTGCAAGAACTCACTGTTTCGGGTCCACGCTGGCCAATATGCACATATAGAGGCGACAGTTGATTCTTTCCTGTAGCAGATAGGACAGTTTTGGTTTCATCGCTCACCGAAGTCAGTGCCCATCCCTTAACCTCCTTATCACCCGACGGATGGTCCTATGCATGCGTACCCAGTGTAGATGTACATATATACATAATGCAACTATAACGAGATATCGTGTATGTGCATGCGTATACGGTAGATATGACATCGTTGGCGTTTGGAGTCAAGACTGTATTGTCTGCATGTGAGCAGAAACATTGAGCTGAGAGCATATGGGGTATTCGTATACCGCAGATGCACACTACATATATACATGCATGTCTTCCTGTGCATGCATGCCTACATGCACACACACATACACATATATATATATATATATACATACGTATATGTCAACGTATCTGCATATCTCCCCGTATACGAGGCCTGGGGGCCCGGGGACCGGGGCTTGACAACGCATGGGGGGAGCGGGGCCCCAGAGATGTCCAGGACTGGCCCAAAGAGCCCCGACTCGCCCCCGAGCCGCCGGAAAATCACTCCCAGATGTCGACGATCGCCTCCAGATGGCCCGCAGCGCTCCCAGGGCGCTTCACGGAGGCTTCCAGACGGCCCAACCGCCCCCCCCAGATACTCCAGGAGGGTCATCAGACGCCCCCCCCAAGACACAATTCATTGGTTTGCCAGGTGGTTTTAATGATTTTTGGGGCTTCCGCCTTTTCGGCTTGCCGACCCTCCGACAAGCCCCAGAAACACAGAAACTCGTCCAAACACAGTTTCAGAGGCCCCCACGAGGGCGCCATGTTACCCAAGAGGCCCCACAGACACCCCAAGAGATCCCGAGGACAACCCACGAAGGCCACGAATCGTTAACAAAAATCTCCCAGACGCTCGCCACGCCTTCCAGGTGGCCCACAATGATCCCAAGGCGCTCCACGAAAGCTTCCAGACAGCCCACAAGCAGAGGAATCCAAGGCGCCCTCGAGGAGGGCCACAAGAGCCAACAATCGGTGATTTGTCATTGCGTTCGGATGGTTTTTCGTGCTTTCGCCTTCTCGCCATGTCAACACTCCAAGACAGCCCAACAAGCTCAAAAGCTCGCCCCAAGACCGAACAAGAGGTCCCCAAGACGGCGCCGAGACTGCCCACGACGCACCAAAGACTGGCTGAGAGTCCTCCAGGACAGCCGAAGAAGGCTCCGAATCGCCGGAAAATCACTCCCAGACCCTCACGAAGGCCCCCACGTGGCCCACGCCGCCCCCAAGGCGCTCCTCGACGGCGTAGAGACGGCCCACAACGCCCCAGAACGCTTCCAGACGATTCCCGAATTCCCCCCCAAAGGGCCCCACGAGGCAAACTTCCTTGGTCTTGCAGGTTTTTGATTGTCTTTTTCAGGCTTGCGCCTCCTCGGCTCGCCGACGCTCCACATCGGCCCCAGAAGCACCAACACTCGGCCCAAGCGTGTGTCAGAGGTCTCCAAGAGGGCGCCTACACTGCCCGCAGATGCCCCACAGGCGCCCTACATACACCTTCAGGACAGCCCAAAGAGGCACCGAATCACTTGAAAAATGACGACAGATGTCCCAAAGCTCGCACCAACACGGCCTCAGAGGCCACCAAAAAGGCGCCAGGAGGTCCCTACGAGACCTCCGAGACGGCCCAAGAGGCTTCCCAGATGGCACAAGAGTGCCCCAAGAACGCCTCCATGGGGGCCCTCAGAGGGGAAACGGACACCGAAACATCAAGTCTTCAGCCCCGACGAGACTTCAGGCAGCTCAAACAGACCCCCACAGGGGCTCCCAAGATGTCCCAAGAGGTTTTCAAGAGGCGCCCGAACAGGCAGGCTCCCGAACACGCTCCGAACAGGCTCCCCAGAACAGGCTCCGAACAGGCTCCAGGAGACCCCGAGCAGGCTCCCCAGAGGCTCCGAAGGACGGGGGAACGGCGGCAGGGACGTATATGCAGTTGTATGCTTGTTGAGGGTGGGGGGTTACTAGAACCTACTCGCGCGAAGCGCGCGCGCCCTCTTTTTTGTGCTATCTATAATACACCTACACTTGTACATGCAGATGTATGTAGGTGTATATATTTGTCAAGATGTATGTATGTGTACGCATCATACGGATGTACCTATACGACCTGGGGGAGCCAACTGATGGTAACGGCGATGGGACACCATCGGGACACCATCGGGACACCATCGGGACACCCTGGGGACAGGCAAATGCCATCGTCGGGACACCATCGGGACACCATCGCGACCTGGGACACCATCGGGATGTGGTCTATCCGTCCACTATTTGTCTGTCGATCTCACTATCGGCCTCACTATCGATCCCACTATCGATCCCACAGACGATTGTGATGGTGGCGATGCTGGTGATGCGCTCATAAGCTGGCGACGATACAAGACGACGATGCTGACGACAATGCACGCTGGCAACGGGCTAACACACTGGCGGGACACCGACGGGATACCGACGGGGTCACCGACGGGACACCAGCCGAGCACCGACGGGACACGGACAGGACACGGACAGGACACCGAGGGGACACCGAGGGGACACCGACGGGACATTGACAGGGCACCGACGGGACATCGGCGGGACACCGACGGGACGCCAGCGGGGCACCGACAGGACATTGACGGGACACCGACGGGACGCCAGCGGGGCACCGACAGGACATTGACGGGACACCGACGGGACACCGACGGGACACCGACAGGACACCCACGGGACACCGACGGGACACCGGCGGGAAATCCCCGGCCACCGCCCGCGGACACCGATGGACCACCGACGGGACACCACAGCGGGACGCCACGGCGGGACACCCCAGGCCACGCTGGCCCACAGGAGGAACGGCCTTTGGTCTGAACCCGCCCTAGCCACAGTGGAGTCATGCCTCTCGCCCGCCCACGCAGCTTCGCCTCGCCCGCACGCGCGACACGAACCCGAAACCGAAACCGATTTCCCGGTGGGGGGCTCTCCGTTCCATTTCGATCTCACCCCCCAACATCCCATCGATCTCACTATCGGTCTCATTATCGATCTCACCATCGGAACCGCTATCGATCTCACTATCGATCTCGCTATCGGTTTGTGGATCGCACTGTCGGTCTCACGATTGACTGCACTGTCCCACTATCGGTCTGAGTATCTAATGGCCTTGGGCCCATCCCACCACCGTACCAGGGTTGTGGGTGTGAAGCCTATTGGATGTTCGTTTGGATCTCGTGGGAGGCCTCTCTGGGCGCCTCTTGGGGCCTGCTGGGGGCCTCTTGGGGCGGAAGTCTCCGATTTTCGGTTTGTGTTCCCTCTCCTGGGCACCTTTTGGGGCCGTCTTGGGGCCCTCTGAGGCCGTCTTGGGCGCTTCTTGGGCCGTCCTGGGGTCCTCTTAGGCCGTCTTGGGCCCTCTTGGAGGCCTGTTGGGCCGTTTTGGGGTGATCTTGGGGGTCTCTTGGGCCGTATTGGAGCGTCGGAAGGCCGAAAAGGCGAGAACGCAAGAATCTTCCAAAAACCAAAGGCGCGTCCATGATTCTGCCTCTTGGGGCCCTCTTGGGAGGCCTGCCGACCTTTGGGCGTCTCGGGGCCCTCTTGGGCCGTCTTCAAGGCCGCTTGGGGCCCTCTTGGCCCGTCTCGGGGCCCTCCTGGCCTGAGAAAAATCATGCGGCACCACTTCCCGGAGGAAAGACCCAGGATACTTGGGCCCAAGGACTCCGAACCCCTTGAAGACCTCTCAGGAGTGAGGACTGAGGCTTAGATTGGTAGTGAGAGGACCTGAGGGCACGCCCACCCCGTGCCCAAGGGCACGGTGGCGGATTGGTTTACCGGTCTCCCTATTGATCTCACCATCGGTCACCCTATCAATACAGTAGTCTCACTATCAATCGGTTTCACTATCCCCTTCACAATCGATCCCACTATCTATCTATCTATCTATCGATCTCACGATTGATCGATCTCATTATCCATAGATCTAACTATTTATCTATCTATCGGTTCCATTGGACAACCATTGGGACAACCATGGGGACACCATGGGGACACCATCGGGACACCATCTGGATACCATCGCACCATAGGGACACCATCGGGACACCACCGTTGGGACACCATCGTGATACCACTGTTGGGACACCATCTAGACACCGTCGGGACTCCATCGGACCACCATCAGGACACTATCGGGACTCCATCGGGACATCATGTGGGCACCATCGGGACACCATCGAAACACCATGTAGACACCATCGGGACACCATTTGGACACCATCGGGACACCATCAGTTAACCATCGGAACACCATCGTGACACCATCGAGACACTATCGGGACCATCTGGACACCATCGAGACACAATCGGGACACCTCCAGGCCACCGCCAGTCAACCAGGGGGCAGAACTACATACGACCCGGTTTTACCCTAGCCGCAGCGGGTTCATTCCGCTTGCCCGCCCACGCAGCTTCGCCTCGACCGCACGCACGACACGAACACGAAACCGAAGCCGATTTCCTGGTTTGGTGTCTCCGTTTCACTTCGATTACACCCCTCAACCTCCGATCATGAGTCAGGGTGATAGCGGGAGAGAACCGTACCGCGGATTAGAGAAGGCCGCTGTCTATTGGCGGACTCTCAAGGAGTTTGGGGCTTGTGCTTTGGATGGTGACAGGTCGCTGGGTTGACGATCAAGCTGGTAGGGACTAGGTTGGTGAATGGAGCGACCAGACTTGTATTTACCATCATGTAGACTTAGCGAACGAGCATCAGCTTTTCGCAGTCGTATCAGCGAGGGACAGCGTGGCAGCCTAAAAGCCCCTCTTCGTCTTCTTCCTGCCAGTCCTTTTTCCTCTTCCCAGTTCCGCATCTTCTAGTTCATTCTCGTCTCTCGCCCTCCTCTCACCTCCCTCGTTCTCGCCGGACTCCTCGTCCTCGCCATGGTCGTAGCCGTCGTCGAACACGTCATCCTGCCTTCGCCACGTCCCGCCCGAGGCGATGCGATCCCTGGCCCGCGCGCGGGTCCGCCGCAGTGGCGGCCGCGCGCGTTGAGGTGCCGGCGAGGCTCCGCATGAGAGACGTCTTTCTCCCCCCTCTTTCCTCCTTTCTTCTTCCCTCCTCCCTCTCCGTAGCCAATTCGACTCGAGCCGTTCCGACACTCCCCGCCGCATCGGCACGCAGTCTCTCTGCAGTGGCACCTCCACCTGCTTCGCGGGTGGCAGCGCAGGAGGCGGCCCAGCACGGCAGCCCACGCGATCAAGCGCCCTGCCGGGGGGCTGATCCCGGCCTCCTCGGAAGGCAGGGCTGGACCCAGACGTTGTTCTGCTGGACTCCTGGCCGTGTGCTGTTTTCCGTTCTGGCAGGGAGGTATGGGGGAAAACCAGGCGGAGCAGCACGGAGCACGAAGCGAAGACACAACGAACAACGACGTCTAGGCCCAGCCCTGCCGGAGGGGTGCGCGAGCCCACAGTGCCGTTTTTGTTGCATGCTCCGCGTGCGGATCATGTACTACAAATGCAGGGATTTAGCACTAAAAGCATCGATGAGTGCATGCATCAACTCATTCATACATTGATCACGTACTAAAATCCTATATGTTTAAAAATCCCATGTGCTAAAAACTGCCCTGAACCTCGCCCGTCGCTCTCCCTGCTGCTTCGAGGCGCGAAATGGCGCGGTGGGCGGCCTCCTGCGCCTCGAGCCGCCTCGGCCTCGGCCTCGTGGCTCCGTCCTCCTCCGACCCTGGATTTAAGTCGGGCCTGTCCCCCTACCAGGGGGTTTTCGACGAAAAATAAAAGATACCCCAAAATAATCAAAAAACAGTCCAAAAATAGTCTGGGGATTATTTTTGCACTATTTTTTGGCCTCTCTGGGGTATTTCTGTTTTTTTTGTTCTCGCAGAAAATCCCCCTGTAGGGGGACACGCCCGACATAACCCTGGATGGGGCCCAAAGCCGGGCGCCCACCGCCCCATCTCGGCGCGGCGGCCGCAGCCCGCCGCGGTGGTCGGTGCTGACCCGCGGTCCCCTCCTCGGGGCACCGCCTGGTGTGGTGCGAAGCTCGCCAGGGGGCCACATGCGAACGCGGCCCCTGCCCTCCACGATTCCTGAGGGGGAGGGTGGGGGTAACAAGGGCTCCCTCGAGGGCGCGAAGTTATTCGCGCTTCGCGCTTCGCGGTCCTCGTTCCTTCTCCCCCTCCTCCTCGTCCTCCTATTCTCCCTTTGGGGGGGCGGCGCGAGGGCGCGAAGTTATTCGCGCTTCGCGCTTCGCGCAGCGCGAAGCGCGAAGTTGGGAGCCCTCCGGGTAGGGGTTCGCACGTGGCCCACTACTCTTGAGTCGGGCGTGTCCCTCTACAGGAGGAGTATTCGAAGATAGTAACAACAATAGTCTGGAGACCCTTTTTTGACCATCTCTGAGCCTCCAGGGATGGGGAGTGTTTGTTGAGTATTTTGTATTTTTCGTCCAACGTCCTCCTGTAGGGGGGGCAGGCCCGACCTAACCCCACTCGCGCAAGATCTGCCCTGTCCTGGTCGGCAGGGCTCGTCGCGCGGGCCCCGTCGTCCACAGCGGTCGCCGCGGCGGTGGCCTCGGCGTGCCGACACGGCTCGTCTCTCGACGTCCCCCGGGGGCCGACGGTCCTGCCCCGCACCGCTTGTGACGCCGTGCTTAAGTCGGACGTGCCCCTCTAGAGGAGGAGTATGCAAAAATAGTCTGGGGACGATTCGTTGATTATTTTTTGGCCATGTTGGGGTATTTTTGAAGTTATTTTTTCGTCCAAAATCCCCCTGTGGGAGGACAGGCCCGACTTACGCCGTGCTGGCTCTGCCGCCGCCTGTGCGGCCCGGGGGCGTGTGCCCAGGTCGCACCGCCACGCGTGGCTGTCATCGCCGTGTGGCCTCCACCCTTCGTCCTGTCTCCTCCCCCGCCCTTCCTCCTCCCCTCTTCCTCCTCTCCCCCTTCCTCCCCCTTGTGCTCCTCGCTCCTCGGTGCTCCGTCCTCGTCCCTCGCTCCTGGTTCGTCTTTCCTGATCCCCCTGTCCTGCCTCCTCCTCTACCCTTCCTGCTTCCTCTGGCATCCTGCCTCCGTCTTGTCCATGTCTGTGTCGTCTTCTGCGTCTCTGTCGGGCCCATCTCCCTCTCCGCCCCCGTCCTCGTCTTTGGCCCCTGTCTGCTTCTCTGCCTCCATCTCTGGCACCCACCCACGCCATCCTTTCCGGATTCTTTTCCCGCTTCTCGTGTCTTTCTCTTTTGGCTCGCTCCTGCCTTCCCGATCGAATGAGGTGAGCCGTTGCCATGCCAGCGCCAGTTCCGGCGCCAGAGCCCGTGGAGAAGCCGCAGCCCGAGGCGCAGCCGGAGGCCGAGGCGAGGCCAGGGGCCTCGGAGGCCCTGGCGGCCGAGGCGAAGCCGGAGGCCCCGGAGGCTCAGGCGAAGCCGCAGGCCCTGGAGGCCGAGGCGAAGCCAGAGGCGGCGAGGGGTTGGACGCCCGCTTTTGTTAAGTCGGGCGTGTCCCTCTACAGGAGGAGTATTCAAAAATAGTCAAAACATCGTCTGGGGACGAGTTTTTGATTTTTTCAGCATTTTTGGAGTATTTGTTTGACCATGTTTTATTTTTCGCCCAAAATCCCCCTGTAGGGGGACAGGCCCGACCTAATGCTTTTGCCGCCCTCCTCCCTCGGAGGTTGGTGGACCTCCTACCATGACACGTCGATTGGCGAGTCGGCCGGTTTCGGCTCGCGAGAGGGCGTCGCGGCCGTCACTTTTGCGGGTCCAGGTCCGTCGGTTTCGGTCCTGGACAGTTTTTACTGAAAAGGGTGGTTTACCAGAATCGGGGGCGGAAAAGAGGGGGGTGATGACTAGGGGGGGTGGATCTCATGGCGTGGGCCATGATATTTTTCCAGATTTCATGGCGCCTCTTCTTATTCCATTACGTCCCTGGCCCCCCCCCCCGGGCCGCGCACATGCCGCCAGCCATGATTTGCACTCCCCCCTCTTGGACGCCCCCCTTTTTGCCGCTCCCGACAGAAGGAGGTTTGTCCACCGCCGACTCCTGCAGTCGTCTCGGTTGCCTCCCTCGTCCGCCTCCCTGGAGCGTCGAGAGCCCGAAGGGGCGCGAACGCAAAAATCGCCGATTTTGGTCTCTCGCGGCCCTCTTGGGGAGGAGGAGGAGGAGGAGGAGGAGGAGGAGGAGGAGGAGGAGGAGGAGGAGGAGGAGGAGGAGGAGGAGGAGGAGGAGGAGGAGGAGGAGGAGGAGGAGGAGGAGGAGGAGGAGGAGGAGGAGGAGGAGGAGGAGGAGGAGGAGGAGGAGGAGGAGGAGGAGGAGGAGGGAGGAGGGGAGGAGGAGGAGGAGGAGGAGGAGGAGAAAGAGCAGGAGGAGGAGGGGTGGCTATTGTGGCTCTCTTGTGACATCCTGGGGATCTTGGGCCAGTCTCGGGCGTCCTGGAACGCTCTCGGGCCGACCCCAGGGGCCTCTTGGACCGTCTTGGGCGTCTGCTGGGGCCCTCCTGGCCTGTGTTTGGGCCCTCTCGGCTCCGAAAGAGAGATGCGACAAGTCGAGGGGGAGGAAGAGGAGGAGGAGGAGGAGGAGGAGGAGGAGGAGGAGGAGGAGGAGGAGGAAGTGGAGGAGGAGGAGGAGGAGGAGGAGGAGGAGGAGGAGGAGGAGGAAGAGGACTGTTGGGGCCCTCTTGGCCTGTCTCTGGGCCCTCTCGGCTCCGAAACCAGAAGAGCCCAGTCGTGTCCAGAAACTTTAAGGGTAGCTCTTTGGGAGATGTTACAGTATCGGGAGCATAGCTCGCGCGCCGTTGCCTTTGGCCCAAGGCACGCGCGCCCTATTTGCCCGGATACCTGATGGTATTCGCTATTTGCCCGGACACCGCGAGTGTTCGCTATGTGCTGGAAAGATCATTACATCGATCTTATCCTATCTTACTCATCCACCCCTCATACTGTACCTTCACAGCAGTGCGATGGATGCAATTTGCCAGGCTATATGCCATATTTGAGCTACCAGGCTCACTTTCGACTTGGTAGCGGGGCTGGCCGCACTCTCGTGTGGTCAGCTCTTGCTCTTCTTAGCCTCATATTCTTCGGCACGATCTTCGTGACCACCTACCACCCTGCGCTACCACTCCCAGTACGTTTACGAGGATCTATCCAAGAGCAAGAAGCAACACGAGAGGTACGACGTCTAGACGACCAGATTAGTACCATATACGCTTCATCATTGCGTTACCACCAACCGCTCGGCAACGAGCCAACAGCGCAATACTTGAAGCAGGGGCGGGGAAACCCGCCAGACAGAGCGCCTCGAAGACTCGACAAGGCGCTACCCCAGCGCGACAACGCGCATCATAACCGTCCTTCGTTACACATTCTCGGGCTAGTCGTTTTCGCTATTATATGGTTCGCGCTGGGGGCAGCAATCGGACACATGCGTCGTGGAGAAAACAGCACCGATGGGCAAACACATGGCCCATATTGGGACCCTCAAGGTAATGTACCTTTTCGTGAGTACATCTACGAGGTCAACGCATGGCTCAACGTTACAAGCGGACGTATGACGCCACAGGCCCAAGCGGCCGCAATACAACGCGGCCTAGGTGGCCTAGCGAGGACACTCGCCATGAGGGTACCGCCTGACATTATCAACTATGGTGCTGACATCGATGGGGTCCACACAGACCCAGTGACCTACATCATGTTCCTCCTAAGCATGAAGTTCGAACGCCTGGAAGATGAGCGACAGCTCACTTCCGGCACACAACTCATCGACTTCCACGTGCCTCACGGGGAACGAATCGATGTCACCCTTACCCGATTCGAAATGGCCCGACTTGAGGCACAATCGGTGGGATTCGACCTTCCCAACTTCCAACTGCTAACCACTATCCTATTCCGCGCCTTAGGCGTCGGCAACCAGCGAGCCATGCAACTCTTACAGCCACTCAATCACCAAATGCCCCGAACACAACAACAGTATGATGAGTTGCTGGAGAGGATGCGTTCGATAGGCCACCTATCCGAACGGTCTCCTGGTAACATAGGATCTGTGTTTGGAAGGTGGATGGGGATCTGGTAGTGGAAATTTCTACACTACCTTGACCACTGAAGCCCAGCCTGGAAACGTGCCCTCAAGCATATGGGCCGATGACCCAGGAGAATCCACTGCTTTATTAGCAGGGGGTCGGTCACAACCAAGCTGGGCAAACAGCCCTCCTTCTAGAGAACCACAACCACACCGTTCTTTGTGGGGGGAATCAAACCCCCTAACCGACGGTGTATCCACCTACTTGGGGGACGAGGATTTCGACTCCGGCACCGATACAGACACTATATCATCAGATGGTGTTGAAGCTTTAGATTGGTCAGATATTATGAATATGGATAACGACAATCAGCGTGCTGAGCATTTGTTCTGGTTATTACAACAGGCTAAACGAAGGTGGAGGAGGTTCACACGAAAACCAGTGCGTCGTGTTAGAAGGAGGATACGTAGAAGTTTTAAAGGAAAGGGTAAAGGCAAGCGAGGTCGTCGGAGGTTGAACGGACGAGGTATCGCGGCATTTCTCCAGAGGCTCTCAGATGAACAGCATGATGAGATATTCTTTGGGGGAAAAGGCCGTGGTAAAGGCCGTGGAGAGACCTCAGGAAAAGGTAAAGGTAGGCGGGGAAACCCGCGAGGTAGAGACGGCCAGGTTCTCAAATGCCATGAATGTGGTAGTTCGGATCATCTTGTGCGAGATTGTCCAGTGAAGGGAAATGGAAAGGGCAGGTCGACCGAAGTCCATTTTGGCTCAAGTGAACCATCCATTGAGTATCTGAGCCTCCAGGACCTTGAGGCTATGGAGCAGATATTTTTCACTTGGGTTGTTGGCATGGACAACGTCGACGAGCTCGAGGGGTATGGTCATGGATTGTACGCGTGCTACCTCGAGTGCGTCCGCCGGTTCGTTACGGGCAGTAACGAGCTCACTCCCGTGGAACACGGTACGCTGGGAAACCAGCCTCTTTCTTTCTTCGACTGGATGTTCGGGAACCCAGGCAACATCATGGCCTACGAGAGCGACGACGAGGACACCACTATAGAGGCTTCGCCTTCCGAGGTTCAACGGAACCTCGAACCTCCGCCCGAAATCCCGCCTGGAAACAGGCCGTCTCTGATGGGAGAATATCCCCAGACTACTGAAGACTTAATTGAAATGGAGTCTCAGGCATTTGTTCAGGCCTTCATTGCAGGCGAACCAGATACTCCGTTCATACCTCCTGGTTCGCTAGCTCCAGGCGGATATGGACCACGCACCCTTTTGCAGACCCTCATGAGGATGCATGAGATACTTATAACTGGTTATCCTGAGAGTCAAGAACATATCGAAGCTGACATTATGACAGAACAGGATACTGATGCTTGCGGTAGCTCAGAGCTGTTGTTGGCAGCTCTGACTCTCATTGACAGCGTGCATCCTCAGGACGTGCAGAGACACTTGATATGCTCCCGTGGTAGATGGCGCAATGCTCTAGAAATGGCTATTGCTATGCGCGGTCATGATCTTCCTCCGCCAGGATGGGGTCTCCAGGCGGTGGGAATGAGGCCAAACCATGCGGCCATGCGTAACATTGCTGGGCAGCCTGTGCTCGGCAACGAGCCTGAGCCGACAACAGTGCCTCCTACTCCGGGACAGCCGAGCGACGCACAGACGCCGGCTATGCAGGGAAACCTGCCTGTACCAGATACGCCAATGGCCATCATCATCGGCAGTTCGACATCAGAAGAAGTAGAAGGCGATGGTTGCGGGTTAGATGAGGATGACGTCACCATCCTCATGATGGACGTGAATGGTGAGGAAGAGGTTGACTTCGGTCCTGATGAGTCTGAATCATCATCACCATCGGCACAAGCGCCATTTGCGCCGAGCTCCACCCAGCAGGGAGACCTGCCTCCATCGGACGATCCATCTGGGATCGCACAGGAGCCTCCTCAGGCACCTTCACCGGGTGCCGCTCCTGCTGCTTCGGCAGCTTCCTCTGATGAGAACACCAGAAGATCTCGTTCCCATGCGCGCGTCAGAGAAGAGCCACATCCACAGGCTCGACTTCCTCGTGAGTGGAGGCAGGCTGGCCCAAAAGAACACGCTCTCAGGAGAGGTGGCCAGCTACTTCCGTACAACGACCCAAGACGCCGAAAAGGGGAACATTCGGCCTTCGGCAAGGGCAACCCTGCCTATAGGGACAGTGATGGCAAGGCCATTCGCGGAGGCTATCAGCTTGCAACAAATATCCGCCGCCCTGAAATTCAAGAAGCGCGGACTCAGTTGCGAGATATTATCGCGGCGCGCAAGCAGTATAGGCCTCACGCAGCATGCGGGCCTTGTTCCCAGCCGTTCCAGAACCACAGGCCAGGATGCCCCGTTGGCAACAACGAAGGCCTGAGCCCCAACAGGGACAAAACCCTTCATAAAGAGGGCCACCCG